CCAGCTCCAGGTTGAGCTGTTGTTTAGCATCTTAGCTGTAGAGGGCAGTGTCACTGGCCCTCTTATGTGGGATCCGAACCGGGGCCCTCTGGCGTCCCAAGCTAGTTCTTAACCAACGCTCCACTCGGCCGGCCCCCTGTTTCTCTTTTACATAAATCCATTAGTCTTTGAGCCCTTCTTCTCTTTCTGGCACAACAAGGTATTCCAGTTGAATCAGTACAAAATTAAAATAAACAGTAAAGCAATGAGTGTGGGTAATAAGTCTGTTAAAGATTCCCTAGGACGCTGTAGATTATCAATGTGGGGGAAGTCATCTGTCTCAAAAGGTCTTTAATACTGATGAAACGCATCAAATTTGGTAAAATGTTCCTCAAAGACTATAAACGGCAAGAAAGAAAATTGTATGCCTGGTTTTAAGCTTTAAAGGTCCAGTTCATACTTTTTAAAACATTTTTCTTTGTTTATTTTTTATTAGTTTAAGGTCACACTTTAATGGGCATGCACATGGCGATTAGATGTTTAAATCTTTTTTGGTCATTTTAGATTATGACTGAATAGTCTTACAAACAGCTCTTCAGGTTAATTTTTTTCCACCCCCCACCCCTGCCCCACTTAGTCTTAAGTAGAGAAGTTTGGGGATATACAAAAATGAAGACAATTATTAACTCCAGGGAAAACAAGATTTATACAAGGAAGGAAATATAATTCAAAGTATACTTCATGGTTCATATGAATAATATTTACAGACATAATGATGTAAGTAATGAATATTGGTTTAACCAAATCATATTCTATTGGTTATATTATGAATTATAATACAGTTATAATGAGAGAATGAGAGAAAAACCAAGTACATACATACATGTTAGTTGGGGGTAGGAGAGCTAAATTTGACATCTAAAACTAAAAATTCAAGAAATAGCAGTGTTAGCATACTGTTTAGTACTATGAAATTAAAAGCCAGAAGAAACAATTAAAATAATTGTTAGTAGCATTTTCTGGAAAATATGAATGGGGAAGAGTGAGACAGGGAATTGCTGCTTTTCTTTATAGGCTTTGAAGGACTATTTGACTTTTTACACTATATGCATATTATTCTGATAAAAATTAAACTAAAAAAAGAAAATATTTCAACTTCATAAGGCACCAGGTCTACAAAGGTTTACAGGATTTTTCTACTAGCTCTTAAGAATTAAGTAATCCTTACATCATATAAACTATTTCAGAGCACAGAAAAAGATGAGAAGCTCTCCAATTCAGGCTATGAGGCTACCATAACACTAACACCAACAGATGACAAATAGAGCACAAAAAAGAACATGTAGGCTAATACCATTTCTGTATGAATGAAGATACAATAATCCTAAGAATAGCATTAGCAAATTGAATTTAGCCATGTGTTAAAATAATGATAGATGANAAGTAAATAAAAATAAACAAATAAAATAACATAGGGTTGCTTGACCTCACAAAAAATAATAAAGTGTTTTATGCAAAAAATAAAATAAAATAAACTTAATCTTTCCATCACAAAGAGATATAAATTGAGAGCAAATGACAAAAAGGAACATTTTCCAGATCAAAATTACCCCGGTTAAAGCTTTCATTCACTTACTGAAGAAGCGAAGAGGAGTGAAGAAAGACATCGCTCAAAGTCTCTGCTGTAGAAATTGTGAACTGAATGGACTTTGGGAGCAAAGACCACTTCTGAAATAGGTATGATTTCCACTCATCCACGGGCAGATCCATGCTATTTTAAGTCTACAAAATAAATAAGAAAGGAAGGAATTTAGATTTCTCCAAATGCACAATCTTAGAAAATCAAGATTTCAGTCCAGGAAGCAAGAAGCAAAAGAATCAATTCTTGTGGTCTTTTTTTAGTTTTCATATGCTGAAGAAGGATGTATGTTTTCTCACACCAATTCACTCAACATTCTTTCATTCAGAAATGTTTATTGAAAACCTACTTTGTGCCAGGAACCATGCTAGGTGAATTGACAGCTACCATCCTTGTTCTCTTAGACCTCCATCTACCTTAGTTGCTCAAGTCAGAAACCTGACACACCTCCCAGGTTTTTCTTTCTCTCGCTCCCCAGCAACTATTAAGTTAACAAATATTTATATCTCTTACATAGTTCAGTTTTCTTTCAATCCCCAGGTCATTCCTTTAATTCAAGCCCTTACCACGTCTTGTCTGGCATTCTTTCCAGCGTGTCACATAACTAGTCTCCATGCCCTCAGTTCCCCGCCCCCAATTTAATCCCTCTGCTTTAAATTCATCAATGCTCCTCCTAGCATTTAGGAAAGCCCCGTACAAACGCTTCATTATTTGGCTCTTGGCTTACTTTCTAATGTTCAAGTCTCACTTCCTCTGTAAAACTATCCTGAGCTACTCAATGCTATCCCCAGCTTGCCAGGCTATTCATCATTCTAATAGTTCTTACATAGGCTATTCATTTTTCAGGGAATATCCCTGCCCTCACTTGGNTCTCTGACTGTTCTTCCATAGTCACATCTCCTTCTGATTCTTCTCTCCTTCCTCCTTTTTCCACTTGTAAGGACTCTTGTGGTTACCCTGGGCTTCCCTGGATAATCCAGGCTCCTCTCCCTGTCTTAAAATGGGCTGACCAGCAATCTTAATTCCACCTGCAACTTTAATTTCCCTTTATCAGGTAACCTAACATATTCATAAATTCCAGAGATTAGGACATGGACATCTTGGGATATATTATTCTGCCTAACATACGGGGAAAGGGAGAGAATTGACTTGATTATAAATTTTTACATACATTTTTTTGTGGTTATCCTAGAGGTTACAAAATCAATCCCTGATTTGTTACTATATCCAGTTAGTACTTTTACCATTTCCCAAACAATATAAGAACCTTACAACAATTTAACTCCATTTATCCATCTTCCCCTTTGTACTATTATCGTCATGTCTTACTTCTAAATGTTTTAGTTTGCATTCACTTTTGCAAGGTATTTTCATTTGGAATATAATTCTAGGTTGGCAAGTTTTGTTTTCCTTTCGGGGCTTTAAATGTGCCATTCAATTATCTCCTGGCTTCAATAGTTTCATAGAAAATATCATCTATTACTAGTTTATTTGTACTCCTTAAAGGTAACATATCTTTCTTCTTTGGTTGTTTTAAGATTTCCCCTTTTTCCCCTTAGTGTTTGGCAGTTTGAGTCTGCTGTCCCTAGGTGTGATTTTATTTATGTTTACAATGCTTGGGATTTGCTGGGCTCTAGGAATCTGTGGGTAGGCATCTTTTATCAGTTTTAGAGAATTTGTGGCACAAAATAGGTGATCAATAAAAATTCACTGAAGCTGTGGAAAATTCTTGCTTCAGTTGTGTGTGTGTGTGTGTGTGTGTGTGTGTGTGTGTGTGTACTAGGTTGTGATATAAAGTATTTCTTACTGAAGAATGTAGTCAAGAGAGTTTGGAAAACACTGGGGTTAGACTATATGACCTCTAAGGTCCTTTCCAAATTTGCACTTATGGATTTCTGTGTGCAGCTAGCAAATCTCCACTACAACCTTTGGGAGATGGAAAAGTTCACACCCTAGTGACTATAGCAAGGCATTGGTTATTGAAACACAACATTGACACCGAAAAAGTTAAATAGCATCCCTACCTTTTCTATCATTGTAGGTTAGAAAACATTGGAAACGGTAAGAACTGCTGCATGCCCCAAAATATAAAAATCTAAACTTAATCGTTCTACAAGCAACCATACGCTGCCAACAAATTAGACAATTTGGAAGAAATGGATAAATTCCTAAAAGAATACAATCTTCCAAGGCTGAATCAAGAAGAAACAGGAAATCTGAACAGACCAATTACCACCTACAAAATTGAATCAGTAATCAACAAGCTCCCAACAAACAAAAGTCCTGGACCAGATGGCTTCACAGGTGAATTTTATCAAACATTCAAAAAAGAATTAACACTTATTCTCCTAAAACTAGTCCAAAAAATCCAGGAGGAGGGAAGTCTCCCAAGCTCATTTTATGAGGCCATTATTACCCTGATCCCAAAACCAGACAAAGACATCACAAAAAGAGAAAACTACAGGCTGATATCCCTGATGAACATAGATGCAAAAATCCTCAACAAAATATTAGCAAACTGAATTCAGCAATACATTAAAAAGTTCATACACCACAATCAAGAGGGATTCATTCCTGGTATGCAAGGTTGGTTCAATATCTGCAAATCAATTGACATGATACACCACATAAACAAAATGAAAAATAAAAAATAAAAATCATATGGTCATATTAATAGATGCAGAAAAAGCAACTGACAAAATCCAGCATCCATTTATGATAAAAACTCTCAGCAAAATGGGAATAGAGAGAACATATCTCAACATAATAAAGGCCATATATGACAAATCCACAGCTAACATCATACCCAATGGGGAAAAGCTAAACACATTCCCCTTAAGGAACAAGACAAGGCTGCCCACTTTTGCCATTTTTGGTCAACATAGTACTGGAAGTTCCAGCCACAGCANATTTCCAGTTTTTTGAGATACCTCCATACTGATTTCCATAATGGCTGCACCAATCTGCAGTCCCACCAACAGTGCACCAGGGTTCCCTTTTCTCCACAACCTGGCCAGCACTTGTTGTTTGTTGATTTATTGATGATAGCCATCTGACTGGAAGAAATTTAATTTTTGATAAATATGGCATTTTGAAGCACTGGGGAAAGAATGAACTATTTGATAAATGTTGTGGAAAAATTATCTGGAAAAAACTTAAGACTACTCCCTCACATCATACAAAAAAATAAGCTCCAAATGGATAAGAAGGCTAAAATGAAATCACAAGATTACAAAAAAATGTTAGAAAAAAAATAGAGAATATTTTTAAATCTTGAAGTAGAGTAGACTATCTTAACTAAGACACATAACCCAGAAGCCATAAAAGAAAATGACAGGGTCGGCCGAGTGGCTCAATTGGTAAGAGCATGAGCTCTGAACAACAGGGCTGCCGGTTTGATTCCCACATGGGCCAGTGATGCTGAGCCCTCTACAGCTAAGATTGTGAAAAACAGCTTGACCTGGACTGGGCTGCCATAAGTGGCCAGCCACGGCGTAGACTGCAGTGGGCTTCTGTGAGCTACCACGAGTGGCCATGAGCTACCGTGAGTGGCCGGCAGCCAGCGTGAGTGGCCGGCAGCTGGCTTGAATCTCCATGAGCAGCCATCCAATGGCCGGTGACAGACCGCCTCAGCGGGGAAAAGCACAATGATCACAATACCAACATGGGCCAATGAAGTGGCGTCCTCCACAACTAGACTAAAGAACAAAAGGACAGCAACTTATCTGTTCCCCTTCCCCGATTCCCCAACACTGTTCCCCTCCCCCAACTCCCCAATAAAATCTTAAAAAAAAAAAGAAAATGACAGACACGATTGTATAAAAGTAAAAACATAACACACAGTTTATATACAATGCAAGACACCATAAGTAAAGTAAAAAAGATAAATAATGGACTAAAAGAAAAATTAGTCACATATATAGCAGAGAATTACACAGCCAGATTTAAAAAGATCTCCTATAAATTAATAAGAGAAAGATAGACACCCCACTAGAAAAATGGGCAAAAAGTACAAATGAACAATTCACAGAAGAAATACAAATGGGCTGTAATATCAGAAATAATGCATTACTTCACTAGTAATCAGAAAAATGTAAATTAAAAAAGATGATTTTGTCCTTATGGTTGGCAAAATTAAAGAAGGTTGCTTTCTAATGTTGGTGAGGATATGGGAAAGTGATTTTCATATGCTGCTCATGGTAAACTGGTAAAGCCTTTCTGAAAGACAAATTTATTAAATTTAAAATGCCTATCACTACCGATGCAACAATTTCTCTTCTAAGAACCTATCTTGAGTTCTAAATCTATGTACAAAAACATATATCACATTTGTTCAGTGCAGCACTGTTTGTAACAGTAAAACAAACAAACCTAGAAATAATGTAATTGCCCATCAATAGGGAAAAGAATAAATTGTGGCATATTACACTAGAAATATCATGTGTGATGTTGGAAAGGTGTGATGTTAGAAAACACCTCACAGGACAAAGCACATGACATAATCTAATAGAGAATGAAAAAAGGTATGTGCATATTAATCTACAAATAAATGAGAATATAGAAAAAGAACTAGAAAGACACTGTGATAGTCGCTGGCATAAAGATAAAATGTCAACCTTGAACCTGAAAGGTACATGTTTATGTAACTGCATATAGATGAGGCTCTCATTTATGTGTCATAATATGTGCCAGCCACTGAACTAAGAGCTTTACATACATTACCAAACTGTCATTGAATAAGTATTTATTGAGCACCTGTTTTTTTGACGCTGCACGGCTCTTGTCTACAGAAAGACAAACAAATACAGACAAGGTCCTTGCCCTCATGGCGCTTACAGACTAGTAGTGAAGACAGACGTTAATCAAATGATTACACAAACATAAAAAGAAAAGGTATGTAGTATTGTAAATGTATAAAAAATGAAGATAACCCAGCTGGGATTCAGGGAAGGCTTTCCTGAGGAAAGATTTGGCTGATCCTGAAGGATGAGAAGTTAATTAGTTCTTAGGGAACAGTGGAGTTGAGAGGAACTAGGACAAGCATTTCAGGCAGAAGAACTACAATAAGTAAAAGCCATGTGGCACAAAGAAGCATAGTGCGTATTAAGAATTGAAAGAAGGCCAGTCTGTCTCAAAGGGGAGAGT